ACATTCATTAGACTTTAAATCAAACATAAAACAGTTTAGACAAAGCCGTTTCTCTAAAGAACTTTTAAAAATAAGTGAAATATTTTATTGCCATTCATGCAAACTATAAGTAAAGTAGCAATATAACTTCAAAGCGACACATTTAGTTTCGAACGAAGTACCTTTGAGGAAACAGCTGCGCAAAGATTTATATTATTACAATTTTTTTAACCTTTTTAAATTTTATCAAAATTATTTCATTTTTAGGTTTCCTGTTTAAAGATCCCCCCTCTTATGTATAAAGCGTCCTCGTGTTTTTTTTCCATTTATTTATTTTTTGTGTTGCTGGTATAAAATAATCAACAGTTATCATGCAGGTTGCCGCCTTAAATTCCTTAAACGCACCATAATATAAATGGATTATGATCTGAGCACAGATGAAGTGGAATAAATCCGCTGGAGGATGTGCGTATAATGAAAAGCATCAAACATTCCTTTTTATACATCCCACCTCCCGTTTTTTTTTTTTTTTTTTTACCCCTACAATAAGATTAGTTTATAATGAAGCTTTTCATATGAAACTGTTCTTTTCAGTGAGCGCAGGTGTACAATTGGGGCTGGAGGGGGGTGGGGTGGAAAGAGGTGGAGGGGGAAGCTTGAGGAGTCTCACGCCTAGGTGCGAGCAGATTATTCAAATAGGGCCCAAGGCGTAGAAGTAGGGATTGGAGGCTTGCCTGGCGCACAGAGCTTATATCACAGCGCTAACAGGCAGCGCGGAGCGTCATTTGGACTCCAGCCTCTGACGGGCGCATCACGGCTGGCTCCGCAGGACGCACATACACCAAGTCCTTCACGGAGGAACGGACCGCGACCCGAACACACTAACTGGTCCCCTGTCACTTGCTACCAGAGAGACTTTTGGCTTTTTCCTCTGCTGGGAGACGCTTTGTCGAAGTCCTCCATGATGCTTGGAGCAGTTAAAATGGAAGGACACGAACATACCGACTGGAGCACCTACTACGGAGAGCCCGAGGTGGGTACCTTAAATATATATATTTTTTCCCCGGTCTAAAGCCGATCCCATTTTATACAACTCAATATTAGCCCTGAGATAATATTAACTTTGTGATCAAATATTGACTTGAGGCGCCTCCAAATCCTCCCCCATCTCCGCACAGCGCGCTATCCTATCCTAACAAACTTGCTTGACATGTAATGGGGGGTGGGGGTGGGGGAGGAAACTTTTCATGCGGATATTAAAACTGATTATTGTTATTTTTTATTTATTCCTTTATTTATTTATTTATTTTTGGCCACGTTTACTTTCAATAAACACCTGTGGTGTTTGGTTTAGGTTAATGGCAATTGGTTCACATGCTGCATGTGTTGCAGATGCACGAGAAGAGCTGTTTGAAGCTTTGTAAAGCCTTTGAACATTTTATAGCTTTACTATAATTTCTTTTATTTGTCATATTATGCTGATAAACATTTGAATTCTTTTTAAAGGTTTTACTCTAGGTAAAACATTTTTTTGTTAATACTTGATTATTATTATTATTTTTAATTAAATAATATCAGATTTACATCAGATTTAATTAATAATAACAACACTTTTGTGTGTAGGAATTATTGATCATGTTCTTTCCTGACTGTGCCAAACTCATGGCTGCCTCTCTCCCCCTCCACACTTGACAGTGTTACACCTCGGTTGGCAACATGAACACCGGCCTGGGAATGAACTCCATGAATACCTACATGAGCATGTCCGGCATGAGCACCACGGCCAACATGACGGCCAACTCCATGAACATGTCCTACGTCAACACCGGGATGAGCCCCTCCATGACGGGCATGTCGCCGGGCACCGGAGCGATGAACGGCATGGGCGCGGGCATGACGGCCATGAGCGCGGCGCTGAGCCCCAGCATGAGCCCAATGACCGCGCAGCCCGCCTCCATGAACGCTCTCACCTCTTACACCAACATGAACGCCATGAGCCCCATTTACGGACAGTCCAACATCAACAGATCCAGAGACCCCAAGACCTACCGCAGGAGCTACACACACGCCAAACCCCCTTATTCCTACATCTCCCTCATCACCATGGCCATCCAGCAGTCTCCCAGTAAGATGCTGACGCTGGCTGAGATCTACCAGTGGATAATGGACCTGTTCCCCTTTTATCGACAGAACCAGCAGCGCTGGCAGAACTCGATCCGTCACTCTCTGTCGTTTAACGACTGTTTCCTCAAAGTGCCCAGGTCGCCCGATAAACCCGGGAAGGGCTCCTTTTGGACTCTCCACCCGGACTCCGGGAACATGTTCGAGAACGGCTGCTACCTGAGGAGGCAGAAGCGCTTCAAGTGCGAAAAGAAGATGTCGCTGAAGGACGGCGGGCGAAAGGCGGGCGACGCCGGCTCCTCCAACAGCAGCTCGGAGAGCTGCAACGGCAACGAGTCGCCGCACTCCAACTCTTCCTCCAGCGACCACAAAAGGTCCCTGTCGGACATGAAGGCGAGCCAGGCCCTCAGCCCGGAGCACGTCGCCGCTGCCGCTGCCGCCGCCGCCGCCTCACCGGTGTCTCAGGGGCAGCACCTCATGTCGCAACATCACTCCGTCCTGGCGCACGAAGCCCATCTAAAGCCGGAGCACCACTACTCGTTCAACCACCCGTTCTCTATCAATAACCTCATGTCCTCGGAGCAGCAGCATCATCATCACAAAATGGACTTGAAAACTTATGAGCAGGTGATGCACTACTCCGGATACGGCTCCCCGATGGCCGGGGCGCTTTCTATGGGCCCCATGGCGGGGAAAGCCGGCCTGGATTCTGCGTCTATACCCGACACATCTTACTACCAGGGTGTCTATTCCAGGCCGATCATGAACTCCTCGTAAACGCTGTGGACTCTCCTCACCTTAGATTTGTACATTTGTAAAAAACAAAAACGGAAAAAATATAGACTTTGTGTACAATATGTATTTCAGATATTTTTGACGTTTGCCACCGTTTTAGTTGTCAAGTTTGTTAGTAACCTAATTGCTTATTTTGAAGGAGAGGATGTGGACGATGACAAAAAAAAAAAAAAAGGTGAAAATGTGACGAGATCTGTTCGGCTTCAGGACTGGACCCCAAAGATAAAACAACAAGTTGCTGTAAGATAGTTGACACCCGCTCATCGGGATTTCTAAATGAACTTAAATGCATCACAGGATTTGTTCAATCATTTGTGTAATTCCTATTTATGGCTTGTATATGTGTATTCTTGTAGTGACAAGAACAGAATCTATATTAAAGTGTTATTGGTTTTGTTTTCTGAATATGATGTATTATTATTATTATTATTATTATTATTATTGGCATTAGGACATTTATCACAGCCAAAATTAGAATAATTTTTGGGTTTTCATAGCTATTTTATGAAACATTCTTTCCAATATAAACAAACAAAAGTCTATGTTTTTTTTAAAAAAAACTGAAAAAAAAAATATTTTCATACATAACATAGACAGTATTGGAAATGTTAAACAATAATGGCTAAAAAACATTTTAAACGTTGTTTTGCTTTAAAATTATCTTAAAAGCTAAAAATATTTTTTTCAAACGCTTTTAAAAAAACATCTTTTATCGCTCAATAAAGAAAACTTGTAACATATTTTCTTTTTTATTGCTAAGCTTATTTTAAAACTTAATGGAAAAGTCTAAAAAATGAAAAAAACAAAAAAAAAAAAACACAAATAAATAAATAACCGAAGATGACATTACTTATGCCTATACGTGTGTGGCTCTCTTACTTTTGTTTATTCAAAGTTATTCTAAATTGTGGAATATTTTTGTCGCCACGATGCTTTCCTAATAAGGCCCATAATTTCAGCTGAGGGATTAATAGCTTTGCAGGATAAAACCGAGACAATGCTCACAATTTGTCTCCCAGGAAATGCAAACAAAACAAATATATGCTCATTAATCCCAAACAGAAACGGAGATATTAACCTATCAACAACTCTGCATTTTCGTCTGGAAGGAATGCCATTAAAATTCATAGAGAAATTAGTTCTTTACCTAAAATAATTTGCTTTTTTTTTCATAAAAAAAAAACCTCTACGAATCGTGGGTACCTCGCAGAAAGTAACAGAAAGCAAGCCCATCACTGACACGCTTGCGAATTCAGGGTAAAACTGATTCGCTATAAGGATATTTAATCAAGCGTTCAAATTCCCCCACATACAGTGTGCCAGTCAAACACCATACAGGCCTGTCAGTCTCCCACTCTGACATGTCTTCCATTCTCCCCAAAGCCCCCCACACACATTGCAAAGTTTAGATCAGTGAATAAGATTAAGTGTCATTGTCAGACAGAACAACCTCCCGCAGTGCAGTAGAATAGCTGCTGCAGAGGAGGCCTGATTTGGGGAACTGAACTGCCTGAATGTGATGCTCTCTAACTTCTCTTCCCACAATCTGGGGGCTCCATTGTCTACTCCCTATTTTTAAAGTAGCGGGACCCTCCCTTCTTGTTAGATAAGGAAGGCTGACTGTCGTCTACATGAATCCAACACCACCACCACCCCCGCCCTCAGCTCGTCCCACCGTCACAAACTCAAATCCAAGGCCGGGGACAGTTTCTGCCCCCTTTATAGCCCAAACGTCACCCCTTCGAACTTCTGAACACGTAGGGGCCAAAAGTGTGCGTTTATTCTCCAGACCCTCTTTGCAGATCGCACTTTAAACAGCGTGATCTGCGAATAAACAAAGCCAGTAAACAATGGAGTGGAGGCTATGCCCGAATATAGGAAGAGTACACACACACACACACACACACACACACACACACACACACACACACACGCACACACACACACACACACACACACACACACGCACGCACACACACGCACACACACGCACAAACCAAATTGCACAAGTGTAAACTTTGAATAGGACGCCCGCGGCTCTGTAAATTTACACAGACATTAAATTTCGTTCTATTCATTTTAGACATATAATGCTAAGCTGATTTTTTTTTATAGCGTGCTGATCGATATCTCTGTAAAATAATCATTTTTTTTTAACTAGCGTGGCAGTGAAATCTTTGCTTTGTAGCTAAAGTCAACAGTGACAGAGTTTGAGCTCAAATAAATGCTGTGATGTCTGGAGCCCTTTGCAGAAGGCAGAAGGCAAGCTTCTACAATGGGCTTCAGTGGGGCTTGCCAACAAGCACCGGCTATTTTGCACAGGTACGAAAGCTTTTATTTTCCATAAAAATATTGCGTTTTCACTTGGATTCTTTTACTTGAACTGTAAAACAAATTGGTGGCAATTAGTGTGCATGCAATCTGGGCGGCAGAGGTTATACTATATCCCGAGCTTATGGGGGGAAAAGGAGAACTATTGGATTTATGTGGCGCAAAGTGGAAGAGATCTGCAGGTTGTGTGGTGGAAGCGAGTTCCTGTATCTCTGATCTGCGAGCCGGGTGGAGAGACGCCTCTGCGCTGTAAAAACCCGATCTTGCAAAAATAACATTTAATCTTTTCCTATTAAATCTAAATATAAATTCGCAGATATTTTTTTTTCTTCTTTTTTCAGGCGCATTGCATCAGCAAATATTGTTTTGCATGTTGTTTCAAACCAGACAGTACGATTGACTTGCGGATGTCTGCACATGTTCGGCGACGAATGAGACTTAATGTGGACTTGAAGGCACGCAGTTGGCTATTTTTTGCAGTGTGCGGCTGATTTATATCACGTTCCCATGCTCGCATAGGTTTGGATATAACGTCTATCTTGACACTGTGTCGCTGTTATTCGATGCAACTAGTGCATTTTGTTAATGTCATCTTTTTAATAATCACAAATAACCATAAACATTTGCATGACAATAATATATGTTGGAATTATACATTCCGCAAAATAACCCACTCAATCTCGTCAAAGAAAGCAGCATTAAATAATGCGCAATAAATAATAATAATAATAATAATAATAATAATAATAATAATAATAATAATAATAATTATAATAATAATAATAATAATAATAATAATAATAATACAATTAAAACGAGTGTTAAAAAAAAAAAAAAAAAAAACTAAAAAAGCTTAAATTGAAAGAGGGGTCCTTTTACAAACCCCACCCAAAATTTAAAA